CTACGTTTGGCTTCTGCAGAAGCAACTTCCAAATCTCCTATGAAAAAAAGGATTTTGTCCAAAATTCCACGACATGATCTCTCTTCAGCTAGACAGCTTTCTCCATTGAATTCAATTTCTGAATGGAAGCTTTGAGCAGTTTCTTTTTCCTGATTTTTTCTTGAACCCAGATGTCTCTGTATCTCTCCTTGGTGAACAAGATAGTAGTCACTGCCTTCTCTAATAATCTTCAAACCCCTATTTTATCAAACATCAAATAAAGTATTTCCCTTCATATCAGAAGTCTTATCATTGTTGCAAAAGCTGAGATCAATATTCATGTCTCAACTCAAATCCAAAACAGTTTTGAGACAAAAATTGGTTTTTGTTGAATACTACTGATTCATGTTAGAGCCTAAACTAGTTCTAGGTAGGAGGAATTCGATACATCAATGTTTTAGTTGCAAATATAACCAATAATTTTAAAATCAAACCGCTAAAAAAAGTATTGGTTTAGTGTTTAATGGTCAAACACTCATTCTTAATAAAATAATTGCAACAATTAAAGGGCACATAAGTTATCCTAAAGAAACAAAATACTGTAAATTTATAACATTAAAAACTAAATTGAGTTCTTTCTTTAATTAAAATCAATTTATACTGAATATATAAAAGTTCTTTCAAAATAAGTACATTTTAATATACAGTGAATATAAAAGATGGTTTCAAAATAATTTTTGTCATATTTTAAGCAAAAGGATTAAGACAACGTAGTATTAAGCTATTCTATTAAGTCTACTTTTCTGATTCTTGGACCAATTTTTTCTGAAAGTAAATTTGTGGTTTAAAACCATTCATCGAGAACGATTTATCTGTTTCCCAATCAAATCAATTAGCATTTCAAAACATGTTATTAGCAGTGTTATTGTTGAAAAGATTATAATGCATGTGATTAAGCAAGGAGAAAACAAAAGCTCCTCTGACCATCAAAAGATGAAAAATTAGAAAACTCACACTCCAATTCGATCACAACGATCTTGCACCTCATATACATCTTTCCATGATTTTGAGCCAATAGGAGCATAAAAAGCAGAATGATCTTCTCCCCATCTCTCTCTAAAAAGGTTACACCATAGATCATTGTCTGAGCCCACCAGCTTCCACTTCCTACACACTGCACAAGTGCTGCAACTTGTTTAGTTCAACCCTTATTCAAACAAGCTAATATAATTCTCAATTAAGAACTTTAACAAGTTTAAACTAATTAAAACTTGTATTATCTGGAAATTTAAACAGCATTAGGAAGCCACACATCTTCCCTACTCCACAATGTTTTTGTGATGAGCCTATGCCAAAAACTTTTGAGTGGAGTCAATTGTATTTGTGCAATAAGTGGTAGGCATCAAATGTTTGGTGAAGCTTAAAATCAAATTATCTTTTTATCACTTATCAAAACGACAATTTCAAGTGGCAAAATTTGGCCAAGCTCCAGATGTTGTCGAAGGGAGCTGTGTAAATGATTTATGTTTCTTGAAAAGTATGGTCACTGTTAGAACACGGCCAAGGGAACACAAATAACATATCTCACTGTTTCAAAGTGTAGGGAAGTTTCACACACACATACACATAGATCCGGTCACCTGATCATGGAGGAACCATGGCTCTGATACTATTTGTAGAGAGAGACAACACACATACACATAGATCCACACTGATAATATATTGTCCGCTTTGGATCAGGTACTCAGAGATTTGCTTTTTGCTTTTCGTATCACTCTAAAATGCCTCTTATCAATTGGAGGTATCTATAAACTCATGTTCTTCAGGAACCTTTACCAGGTAACTAATATAAGATTACTGGTTGCAGGCTGAGCAACAAGTGACAAAGGTTGCAGCCTTTATTGGTTAGTTCCTAAATGAAACTCACAAAACGAAATTATTTTCATGATTTTATTTTGATATGATCTACGTTTGGCTTCTGCAGAAGCAACTTCCAAATCTCCTATGAAAAAAAGGATTTTGTCCAAAATTCCACGACATGATCTCTCTTCAGCTAGACAGCTTTCTCCATTGAATTCAATTTCTGAATGGAAGCTTTGAGCAGTTTCTTTTTCCTGATTTTTTCTTGAACCCAGATGTCTCTGTATCTCTCCTTGGTGAACAAGATAGTAGTCACTGCCTTCTCTAATAATCTTCAAACCCCTATTTTATCAAACATCAAATAAAGTATTTCCCTTCATATCAGAAGTCTTATCATTGTTGCAAAAGCTGAGATCAATATTCATGTCTCAACTCAAATCCAAAACAGTTTTGAGACAAAAATTGGTTTTTGTTGAATACTACTGATTCATGTTAGAGCCTAAACTAGTTCTAGGTAGGAGGAATTCGATACATCAATGTTTTAGTTGCAAATATAACCAATAATTTTAAAATCAAACCGCTAAAAAAAGTATTGGTTTAGTGTTTAATGGTCAAACACTCATTCTTAATAAAATAATTGCAACAATTAAAGGGCACATAAGTTATCCTAAAGAAACAAAATACTGTAAATTTATAACATTAAAAACTAAATTGAGTTCTTTCTTTAATTAAAATCAATTTATACTGAATATATAAAAGTTCTTTCAAAATAAGTACATTTTAATATACAGTGAATATAAAAGATGGTTTCAAAATAATTTTTGTCATATTTTAAGCAAAAGGATTAAGACAACGTAGTATTAAGCTATTCTATTAAGTCTACTTTTCTGATTCTTGGACCAATTTTTTCTGAAAGTAAATTTGTGGTTTAAAACCATTCATCGAGAACGATTTATCTGTTTCCCAATCAAATCAATTAGCATTTCAAAACATGTTATTAGCAGTGTTATTGTTGAAAAGATTATAATGCATGTGATTAAGCAAGGAGAAAACAAAAGCTCCTCTGACCATCAAAAGATGAAAAATTAGAAAACTCACACTCCAATTCGATCACAACGATCTTGCACCTCATATACATCTTTCCATGATTTTGAGCCAATAGGAGCATAAAAAGCAGAATGATCTTCTCCCCATCTCTCTCTAAAAAGGTTACACCATAGATCATTGTCTGAGCCCACCAGCTTCCACTTCCTACACACTGCACAAGTGCTGCAACTTGTTTAGTTCAACCCTTATTCAAACAAGCTAATATAATTCTCAATTAAGAACTTTAACAAGTTTAAACTAATTAAAACTTGTATTATCTGGAAATTTAAACAGCATTAGGAAGCCACACATCTTCCCTACTCCACAATGTTTTTGTGATGAGCCTATGCCAAAAACTTTTGAGTGGAGTCAATTGTATTTGTGCAATAAGTGGTAGGCATCAAATGTTTGGTGAAGCTTAAAATCAAATTATCTTTTTATCACTTATCAAAACGACAATTTCAAGTGGCAAAATTTGGCCAAGCTCCAGATGTTGTCGAAGGGAGCTGTGTAAATGATTTATGTTTCTTGAAAAGTATGGTCACTGTTAGAACACGGCCAAGGGAACACAAATAACATATCTCACTGTTTCAAAGTGTAGGGAAGTTTCACACACACATACACATAGATCCGGCCACCTGATCATGGAGGAACCATGGGCTCTGATACTATTTATAGAGAGAGACAACACACATACACATAGATCCACGCTGATAAGATATTGTCCGCTTTGGGTCAGGCCCTTACAGATTTGCTTTTTGCTTTTGGTACCACTCTAAAAGGCCTCTTATCAATTGGAGGTATCTATAAACTCATGTTCTTCGGGAACCTTTACCAGGTAACTAATATAAGATTACTGGTTGCAGGCTGAGCAACAAGTGACAAAGGTTGCAGCCTTTATTGGTTATTTTCCCTAAATGAAACTACACAAAACGAAATTATTTTCCTGATTTTATTTTGATATGATCTGCAATAGTCACTGAGTTGCCTTCCACCTTTTGTTTCTGATGGAAAAGATCCTCAATTCAAACATTAAAGAAAGGAAGAGCCAGTAGTTGACCTGATTCAGGGAAAACTGAACAAACAAATCCACCGAATTTAGGGGATCATATTCATCTCATGATCACTTCAATCTCAGATCCAATTCGGTGGAAAACATAACAGATTATCCAAGCCAATCAATATGAAAATTGAATCAGACTAATTGAAGAAAGTCAATTCAGATAAAATGGAAGACACTGCTGTTTTGAAACTTGGAGATCAATTGCAACACCAATTGGATTGGAAAAAAAAATAACTTTTGCAAAGAGATAAGAACGTAAAAATGAAAAAACAGTGAGTGGGTGAGGCTGACCTTGTTGAGCAACAGAAAGATGGTAGTAATCCAAGAGACCGAATATCTTCGTACATATTTCCACAGGCAACCTCTCCATTTTCGACAACTTGAAAATAATCATAAACTCACATAATTCTTCCAAATAACACTCACGAGTTTCGTTTCCTTGGATTCTGTCTGTGCAATCATAATACTAACAAAACATTCATTTTTGTTGTTTTTTGTTAGTTGCTTCTAGTAGGAGGAATGCAAGAATCCACAACAGCTTTGCTTATTTTATAATATAATATTATTATTACATTATTTTCGCGCGTAGGTATATGTTGGTGCATGCTAGCTACTCGCTCTGTCAACCATTCATTCAAGAGATCGCTTCCTACCGCTTTTATAATTATTCTTTATACAACTTTTTTTTGCTGCGATTCTTTAAGAGTTTAATAGTGTAAAAAAATTATACAGTAAATTAATTAATGAAAATTAGTAATATTTTTTTTATATCCAGTACATATTTAATCCTAAACTAATTTAATTATTTACAAGTTGATGTTAGTTATTATATCATGAAGAGTAATTATCTTGAGTGTGTGTAACTGTATAAGTTCTTCATGTGTAATTAAAGTAAGGAATATTTTTGTAGCAACGTCTCAAGATATTAAAAATAATAAACGATTTGGCTAGAGCAAAAAAATCTCTATATTGTATGCCATGCCATAAATGTTTAATAAAAACTTGTATCAAGCATAGAATTTATCAATGAAAAATGCCAGATGGCCTAAGGGGCAACACTGGTTCCCTCGAACTGTGAAGCATTTTTCTCCAATGCACATTATTTATTGGATACCAATTCTTCCATACTCCTCATTCATTTGCCACTTTAATATTCTGCGCATGAAAGTAAATAAACTGATTTTTCTCCTTCTCTTCGTTTAGTAACAAACAGATGCACAAGTCTCAAAGCGAAAACAGTTAATTATTAACCAATACACAAGTCTCCGCCACTTCCGAAAATACATATATACATATACATGTATGAATTTTCAAATCTCTAACTAGCATTCTTTTGACCAAGTAACCCATCTTAATCAAATCGGAATATATGTAAATAGTAGGTCAACAAAACCCCCCGGATCTTAATCGATACAAATGCTACCACCTAATCAAATTGAAAATGGTATCAACTAACTAGCAGAAACCAATGGCAATATGGATTGAATCAAACTACTAAGTTTGCCTCTCAATCGGCCAACGGTGTTCTTCAATGTTTTACATGTCTTCTCAACAGGGAATTCGCTTATCTGTAGCATTTGCAGCTGCATCTCCATATACCTCTTAAGACTGGCCCCGGCAATGTTAATGAGACTAAGTGATTCATTACCATGCATACATTTTGTGACTAGAAATCCGGCTAGAATATGTTGATCAGCCTTCACAAGTTCTGAAATGAAATTAGGCAAAAGGATCCTTGTGAAAAGAAGCAACTGATTCTCATGATCTTCATTGTTGTGAATTCCTCTACCTGACACCAGAGCTTGTTGAGATTGATTGGATAAATTTCCGACCAAATAGCAGATATAAGAGAAAATAGTACCATAGGTAGAATCAGTGATGATAGAAGTAAGTATTCCAGAAGATAAAATTAAAATTAATAACTCGTAGTCCTTGCTCCTTGATTGAGGGATGCCTTGTTTGATGCTATCCTCAACTGCACCTAGGCACTGCAACTGTAATGTTTTGTAAGGCAGCAACAGTGACATCTTCAAAGCCAGAAAGCAATCAATGCCAAATGCCATCTGGATTAAGCTGCAGGCATCATCTTCATCAAGTAACACAGCATTAGGCTTTAAAGATGATTGATCAATAAGTCTCAGCAGATCAGTAAACCTTGAAAGGCTTATGAATTTTCTGAAAATCTCCGCCCAACACACATGCAAAGGGTGAACCAAAACAGAGTCTTCTATCTTCTCTTTCTCAGGATTGTCTACTCCCTCAAGGCTTTCCCATCCCTCGTCCCAATCATCATTGTTCCAGTCATTTCCTCCATCAGTTGCTTCAGCAATGGTTTCTCCATCTTTCCCTGCAGTGAACAGTCCATCCCACTCTTCCAAAATAGCCAGAAGAGCATCAAAATGGAGATCTTCACGAGCTTCTCCACACAACCCCATAAAGCAAGACACTGCCTTGTCTGCATTCAATAGATCATCAGGGGTAATTTCTATGCTAGGAGAGATTGAGGCCGCAAGCTGAGATGATTTAAGAGCAATCAAAGTATTTGTAACCCTACTAGAAGAGTCTTTGTGATCTGGCAATGACTTGTCAACATCAGTCTCGCTCTTTCTACTAGCATAAACCGATTCATTCCATTCTTCCCATGGTTGAACATTGGCTAGTATTTCTGTAGAGAAACCCCTAATGTTTTTACCCGAGATAAATTGCATTAGCTCTAGCACAAAAACTCTGACTGAACTTGGCAACTGCAAATTATCAGAGAATTGGACCATTCTTTCCCAAATTACATGTCTAACACATTGCATAACCTTCAAGTCACCTTCTAGCTTGCTTAAAGAAGACAATATATGATACAGGTTCTGGCTCTCATGGGATCCACTGATCAATTCCGACAAAACAGCTTCAAGAATATGCAAATAAAAATGAGGAAGATCCGGAGAATCTTGGCCACTATCAGAAGCTAAACCAGAATCTGATGATGCAACGGTAAAAACCTCTGCAACAGCACCAAACCCTCAGCCAGAAAAAATCATAGCTCTGCAGAAACTATAAATTTCTGCAGAAGAATCACCTTTTAACCCACAAATGACATAGCCACATATGCTGCCCCAGCCCTGACTAGGGGAGATGATATCTTCCATTACCAATTTCATAAAAACCTTCAGGCAATTCATTAAACATTGTGGATCGAAGCAACCAGTTTCTACTGAATTTTTCTCCAATGCAATTTCTTTCATATCATCTGTCAACCTCATCCAAAAGTTCAGAAGAACAATAAGGCACTCTTGCCATGTTGAATTGTCAGGTAGGAGTCCATATGAACTGAAGAAAGGCAAGATTATGGTGAAATACTGCTTCATGATCCCCAAAGCATCAGGCCGGCTCAAAAGCTTAATATACACTTGGCACAAATCATAACTCTGTTCAAGCTTGTTTATAAAGCCTTGCAGATATTCAGGAGTTCTATTGCTAGAATCAGTAGTAACTTTAGTCTCCAAATCTTTCAGCAAACTTACAACGTAATACCTGTAGACATCCTGCCATGACATGAAACCATCAGGCAATGAGTCTCCGTACATATTGACAAGAGCCTGTACCATTTTTGACAAAGCTGGCATGCTACTTTCCTCAATACATGCATAAACTTCATCACTAAAGCACTCAAAGTTCAAACCATGTAGCCCAGCAATATTTTTGAAGTTCAGGTTAGGGATAAAGTATACATTTTTGCATTCTTGCTCGATGACCTTATAATATTGTGCCAAGCTTACATTGGCATTTACATGATCAACCTGCAGCACTGGCGATAAGTCTTTGGTATTTTCCTGTTGCAAGTAGCACTCTGATAACAAGCCATACACATAAGCAAGGCGAAGTTTGTTGCACCCGTCAATTGCAGGGTATACAATTGTTGAGATGGTTTCAATGTTTTTCTCACTATTACTGATAATTTCCCCTTTATAGCCTGCAACTTCAGCAGTAATATCATCATTGCTCCAAGTATCAGAAACAAGGACAGCAGTTAGGTAACGCAATAGCACCTAAAAAAAACAAAAAAAATAGGTTTCATCAGTGGATTGTATTACGTTTTGTTCAAAGAACTAGTTGACTTAAAAAGCTAAACGGTTAAGGATTGGATGAAAACAATTTTCATAATGGAGCACCCCTTCAATTGAAACCACTGATGGACGAAACTACAAGTTCATACCTACTTTACACTGATACTAATACTACTTGACACTGAATTTACCAAGAGATTACCAAAGCCAATAATAGAACTTTTACAACATTATATATAGGCTAAGGAACAATAAGAGACAAATAATTTCATTGTAAGCAACATTGTTTTCTTCACAGTTTACGTTTCATTGCATTCTTGCAAATCCTCATACCTCAGTACAGTTCAAGTCATACGTGTCAACCAGTTTTAAAATGTCCTTCAAAATGTGCTTTCTTTCTAACTTTACTGACTCAATGAGAGAGATAACAACATTCTCAATATAGATGGAATCCCTGGACAAAAAGCGCTCTGTCTCAACCCCGGGAATTATTTTTTCTAGTGCTCTGGAATGTTCAGTGAGACGTTTTTGTGCTTCTAACTTCAATTTCCACTCTCTCCAAAATGAGGATTGTACTTTGCCAAGTTTATCCATATCGTCTGAATAAACATAATAAAAACATTGTCTTAGTCAGTTACATATGCAAAAAAGTAAGAAAAAATAGTGGAAGAAAGAAATTCACAATCAACACAAGCATGATCATCAAACTATTTTAAATAGTTCAACTACTGAACAAATATACAATTAACAGCAAATAACAAAAAAGACAATCACCAGAACTGGGTGATGCATGCTTTTCCTTAAACCTCCTCTTCAATAGCTCCCTCCGATGAGAAGGATCAGTCTTTAGTCCAGAGTTATGTAGTAAGCTGTATGCCATCCCAACACTCATGATACTACAAATTTCTTGATAGTCTTTTCTTATTTTGAGTTGTTCTTCTATAATTTCTACCCCATTGAAGGCATCAACAAGATTCAAAAGATAGGAGCACCCCATTATATCTTCCTCTTCGGTGACTGGTGGCTCCATAACTGATTCTGCTAGAGAGGCAATCAGGTTGTCTCTTGGGGCAAATCCATTTCTTGCCAACCAGCACAAAATGGTTACCACAGCTTGCGTTCTGATATTTAGATATTGCTTTCCGGTACTGATTTTCCTATGATGCTCTCCTTTCTTACTTAATTCAATCAACCAGGGGAGCTGTGAAGCAGCAAAAGACAGAACTTTCCCATTTTCAGTCAAGATTGATGCCCAATCAGTTCGATCTCCAATAGCCAAGGTTTTCGCAACAATGGAAAGCACGTCTCTAGCTTTCTGAAGATGAACATCCTGATTGTCATCACCAATACCATCAAACTCCTGAAAACAACCATTAACATCTAGTATATTTTGAAAACTTTGATTTGGAAGGGAGTTTAAAGATGAGCCTTCT